CCTTACCCTACACCTCCACACAGAACTTTCTAGGAGATGAAGTGAATGGTTTGCAAAGGATTTTTCCATTCAAACATTGTTTTACCCCTTAAGATCTCCATGGTTTTTCAGCCTCCTCCTTTAAGATTTATACTACTCAATCATTGTTTGACAACAAGCTGCTCATGTACCTCTAGTTCTCTACAGTGAATTCTATATAGTAATTATATGTTTGGGTTATACGGACTGCTCAGTCTTCACGATACAGTGCCGGACTTTAAAAAGACCAGGAGCAGCTTCAGTAAATATTGTCCCTGCAAATGGCCCTCCCCATTTACCTTGATTTATCTTACCAGTGCTCCTTTATCTGCTGTGACAATACAGGACACTAGGGGTGAGATCTACTAAAACCGGAGCACTCAGAATCTGGTGCAGCTGTGCTTGGTAGCCCATCCATTTCTAACTTCAGCTTGTTCAATTAAGCTTTGCTTTAAAACCTAAAAGCTGATTGATTCTATGCAGAGCTGGAGCAGATTTTGCACTCTTCAGTTTTAGTAAATCACCCCCTTCATTTCTGGAGGAGCATGTGACTGCTCCAACACCCCCCATCCCGTGACAGTGCTTGGTGCTAGCAGTTTATAGATAGACCCGAACACTGTCATATGATGGGGACGGATGTAAGACATTGCAGTGACACAGTCACTTTCTCTTGTATGGGCAGTGACAAAGTCTTCTTAAATACAACAATACTACTTGTCACAAGATGCTGGGAAATACAGATGTTTCCTCTCTAAGGGTCCATTCACATTTATGCTTAAGCTTTTGGGAATGTGTGTAAATCTGACAAGCTGTCTTTCTGCTGTAAATTGCCTGATCACTCCCACTCACTGCTTGGTACATTTGTCCATTATCTTTAGTAGAAAGCTGGTGGGACATCGGGATCTAAAGGACTCCAACAAGAACAAATGGTATAACATAGGGAACTTTTGGTCCTATGTGATAAAAAATAGTTTAGTGAAAAAAATGTATAAAAACAAATATGATAAAATGACACCTAAGCACTTCAACACCCCCCCCCCCCCCCCAGGAAAGATTTAAAGATTTTGAGCACCCCTGCATACATGCACGTAAACACGCGTTGGGAAACTTGCTCACAGAAATGATTTTGTTACACATCACTATTTTTGCCAGTGTGAGAGCAGTAATACTAGGGACATTATTTACGATTAACTACACCGATGACCCATAGGGGCTTTAAAGCATCGCCTATGAAAAATTTAGGGTATTGAAGCGCTAATATCATATGGCATAAAAAATTGGAACTACCAACATTTTATTCTCCAGGGTCTCAGAAAATATATGTTTTAGGGGTTTTAAGTGATCTTCAGGCCTAAAATAATTTTAAAAAAATATGTATTCGATATTTAAAGATGATGTTTTGATTTTCAGTTAAATATTACCCAATTTGTTGTGCAATGCATGTGTATTTGACAGTTGCTTATTACAGATTGAATTTTATTTATTTTTCTTGATTGTGTGTTTATCCCAACAAATACGATCATACGCAAGTGTCATCTTTTTAGTTTGTTTATGCAGTATCTTTAAGGTGTTACTAAACCCACAATAGTAAAATAAGTCTGTATATGCAGTAAAGCATGCTTGTTATACTCACTGTGGAACCTAAGGGGTTAATCCTCTGCGTTGTGTAAAAACACTGTTTGACTCTGACTCGTCTGATCCTCCCCTTCTTCCAGTGTCTCCCTTTTAACTCCTGATAAGTAGGGATGCACTGAAATTTCACTGGACGAAACATTCCGGCTGAAAACACCCCTATTGGCCTGTGGCCGATATGAAAATAAGCACCAATACAGGTGCTGAAAATAACACCGCCACCCGCCGCTGCTTGGTGGTTCTCAGCCTTACCTGGGAAACCACCGAACGATCCCAGCGCTGGGCATAGAGATTAGTAAAGGAAAGATGGCCTCCACTCATCTCTATGCCCTTGGAGGACCAGAGCGACGTCACTTCCAGTTCCGGCGCCTTGTAAACGAGGCCAGTTTTTTTTTTTTTTTTTTTTTAAAGCACTAGATCAATGCTTTTTTTGATCTAATGCTTTACATTGTAGAAGAGAGATGTAAAGGTCATATTGACCCCATATCTCTCCATACAGAGGACCTGTCACTACTTATTTCTATCACAAGAGATGCATGTATTCCTTGTGATAGGAATAAAAGTGATTAAAAATGTTTTTTAAAGGGACGGTGCAAGAAGAAAAAAAAGTTCAAAGTGCCCTTGTACTCACGCATAGTGGTGAACGCATACATAGGCCACGCCCACATAAGTAAACGGTGTTCAAACTACATGTGAGGTATCGCCACTAACGTCAGAGCAAGAGCAATAATTCTAGCACTAGACCTCTGCAACTTTACACTGGTAACCTGTAGAAGTTTTTAGACAGTCACCCATGGAAATTTTTAAGTACCCTAGTTGGACGCCATTCCATGAGTGTGCGCAATCTTAAAGCATGATATGTTGGGTATCTATTTATTCGTAACATCATCTTTCTTTTTTTTACAAAAAAATTGGGGTATATATTGTGCTTTCTTTTTTCTTTTTTTTTTTTTAATCATTAAAGTGTATTTTTTCCCAACAAATTGTCCATTTTGGTTTTTGGCTAGAGGAGTGTTCGGTTTCGGCACCAGAATTTTCATTTTGGTGCACCACTAGGCATATTGTGTGGAGACACTGCACATGCTCAGTTTGGTGTATATTGCTAGAGAGATTTTTTTTTTTTTCCTCCTTGGGAGAGTGCATGTGATCAGCACAGGGCCAATCAGCACTGCCCAGACAGAGGTCAGGGGTTCTGCATCCTCCTAGAGAAAACTCCTCCAACAAGCTTTAACCAGTGCTCTACTGAACACCTTAGAAGGCACAAGACAGCTGATGAGAAAAGTTATTTAGCAGTTTATATTTACTAAAATAATTGCATTTCCATGTTCTGTGGGAGACCAGATATAGTAAATGCAGGGTCCTGGGTTTAGTAACACTTTACTGAATTGTATGGAATTTGTTTATGATGTAAATCATCTTTAAGGCCGGTGATCTGAAAAAAAAATCACCATAGTCTTTCTTTAGGGGAAAGGCCAGATACTTTTCTTGTCTTTTATTAAGAAAACTTGCCGATATTCCAGGTACTTTCTGACAGGGCAGCAGTGTGCTGCTTTTATTGTGATGGCATAAGATCATTGCTATTTATCTCTGTTTTCATTGGAATATTTGCATTAACTGGGGCATCTCTTGTCTTTTTATTAAAGAGAAATGCTTTACTTGATGACAAATAAATAGAACTTCTGGACATGCAGGTACCAGTCAGACCAGATTGCTGTATATTTTTACGACCCTGTGGAATGTGGGTTGGGTGACTGGTTTAACCTCCAGTGCTCAGCCTGCTGCTACTGTTTGCTCTTTCAGTTGATCGTGTAGATACAGTAACTGTTAAAATATTTGAAAGTTTTTTTCTTTAAGCAATGTGTGAGTGTATCTAATATAATTCTAATATATTATGTTCACGGCTGTCAGTCAGTTATTATGTTATTAATTACTTCAGATGATTGGGAATGTGTTTGGTAAAGGACCAACATTATTAGAACCATTACTTTAAAATTTGTTACTAAACCCGTGACCCAGAATTCACAATATCTGGTCTCCCACAGTACACAGAACATGAAAATGCAATTGTTTAAGTAAATATAAACTGCTAAATACCACTTCTCATCAGCAGTATATAGCAGTCTAGTGACTTCTGTCAGTGTCCAGCAGAGCACTGGTTAAAGCTTGTAGGAGGAGTTTTCAATCTCCTCTGATTGTCCTATGAGGCTGCATAACCCCTGACTCTGTCTGGGCGGCATTGATTGGACCTGTGCTGATCACATGCACACTCCGAAGCAAAAAAAAAGAGTGGCAAGAAGAACACCATTGTCGAAAGAAAACCATTAAAAGTCCTGTTCGCAGTTTACGAGAAGCCATGTAGGAGACACAGCAAACGTGGAAGAAGGTGCTCTGGTCAGATGAGACTAAAATTTTAAATTTTACTTTTTTTGGCCTAAAAGCAAAACGCTATGTGTGGCAGAAAACTAACACTGCAAATCACCTTGATCACACCATCCCCACTGTGAAACGAGGTGGCAGCATCATATTGTGGGGATGCTTTTCTTCAGCAGGGATAGAGAAGCTGGTCAGAATTGATGGGTAGATGGATGGAGCCAAATACAGGGCAATCTTAGCTAAAATCTTAGATAAAAACCTGTTAGAGTCTGCAAAAGACTTGAGACTGGGGCGGAGGTTCACCTTCCAGTAGGACATCAGCCCTAAACATACAACCAGAGTTAAAATGGAATGGTTTACATCAAAGCATATTCTTGTGTTAGAATGGCCCAGTCAAAGTCCAGACCTACATCCAATTGAGAATCTGTGGTAAGACTTGAAAATTGCTGTTCACAGACGCTTTCCATCTAATCTGACAGAGCTTGAGCTATTTTGCAAAGAAGAATGAGCAAAAATGTCACTCTCTAGATGTGCAAAGCTGGTAGAGACTTCCCCAAAAAGACTTGCAGCTGTAATTGCAGCGAAAGATGGTTCCACAAAGTATTAACTCGGGGGAAGGGGGGGGGGGGGGTGTAGAGCGAATACAAATGCACACCAAACTTTTCAGATATTTATTTATAAAACATTTTCAAAAACCATTTATCAGTTTCCTTCCACTTCATAATTATGTGCCATGTTGTGTTGGTCTATCAAATAAAATCCCAATAAAATACATTTACGTTTTTGGTTGTAACATGAAAAAAAGTGGAAAATTTCAAGGGGTATGAATACTTTTTCAAGGCACTGTATTCTCACCATTGTTATGTGGGAAAACTAGCATCTACCAAAACGTTGTAGAATACAGGAAATAATGTTTCTTGGTTTTCAGAATAAATTTTATTTTGATGAATATATATTTAACTAATTTACTTATGCAGGAGGACCCTCTGGTTCTGAACGAAATTCGAGAAGATCTGCGATCAGAATGTGAAAAAGTTTGGACAAGTGAAAAAAGTCCTTATATTTGATGTAAGTATGTTGTTCATGATTTAAGTGATACCTAAACTTAACTCCTGCCAAAACTATTTTGGTTCTAACTTTCCCCACTTGATCCAAAACAGAAAAAAAAAAAACAGTTTTGGCTGGAGATGGGCTTTAATGGTTATGTAACATCGTTTCTATTTTGGACATAAAACCTGGCACAATAAAAGAAAACAGGTATAGAAAGTAATCTGATAAGGATTGTTTTACGTACAGGTGCACTGCTCTAACAAAAAATATTTACGGTATGGGATTTATTTAATAAACAAAATAGATGGGGGTTTAACTCGCCAGTAATACCACTAGAAGGAACAAATGTTTTTCCGGTAAAACTATTATAGCAGGAACCTGGATTGCAGATAAAAATGCACGATTACAGGATGAGTAATGGAGAAATAGGCACGCTACAAGAGTTGAAACAAAAAAAAGGACTCATTTTATGTATTTGATGATTGACGATATCGTCAATTAAAGCACTTTGTCACATATCTTCCACAACCACTAAGAGAAGGTTATATGTATCGTTCAAGCAATTGTCAAACTCGGGTGGAATACAAAAACATGGTACTTGACGTATTTCTAAGATATTGACTATAACATCTGAACCGGTTATACCAACATATATGGGAAAACGAGTTGGGAATTCAGTTGAGTGAACAGCAGAGAAGGAAAATATTTATAATTGCACACGGAGCCGTGGACATGAATACTGTACAGATGAATTATAAATTGCTGACAAGATGGTTTATTACACCTAGTAGAGCCCATAAACAACATGCAGAGAATTTTATGTATTGTTGGAGGAGATGTGGGATGGAGGGTACAATAACACACACATGGTGGGAATGCTCCAAAATTCAGGATTTCTGGCAGGAGATAATACAACAAATAGCTGAGATTATGAGGGAAAGTATATTAAAAGACCCGCGGGTCTGTCTATTTCATAATACCAATCTTATAACGAAACAATATAAAAAAAATGATGATACCCCGCTTAATTAATTTTGGAAGGCCCAAGAGATCCCAAGAATAAAAGACTGGATAAAAAGAGTAGAATTTGTATACAACAATGAATAACTTTATTTTAGTGGAGAAGATAAAATGGATACATTCAGGAAAAGGTGGGAAGAATTCAAAACAGATTTGTAGAACTGATGGAGTAGAAGGGAAAAGGGAAATGCAGGAATGAGAAGTAAGGGGAAAAAAGTTGATATAATGATAAGAAGATGCATACATCTGATTTAGAGGAAGATAGTAGAGGTTAGCGAAAACTATTAGAAGGAAAAAGACAGTGAAATTGGGGGGGAAGCAAGGGTGGGGTATTGGGAAAATTGTAATAAATGTCTGATTACTGTGTATTAATGTATTTATGACTATATTGGCTTGTACTCAATAAATATATAATTTAAAAAAAAAGCTGCACTGAAAATTAGTTACAAAAATGCAAGTTAGCATCTTATAGTGCACTCTTCAATGTTGTGTTGAGTGTAGCTAGGCCAAGAGCACATGGCGTGTTGCCTGCAGCAGGTCCCAGTAACCATGCCTTTGCAGTGCATAAAAGCGCATGTATTGTGTATCTTCATGTGTTCACATACAGCACGCATTATTGTACATTATTGCATGCAGTATGATTGCTCACTGCAATGCATTGTTAAAACATCTTGCAGTGCTTGGTTTTTTCTTTTTCCCTTTTAAAACTAAGTAGTTTCATCTGCTGAAGTGCGTTGCAATGAGTTACAGTATACTGGTATGTGCTGAACAAAAAAAATGCAACATGTTCCATTTCTTTCAGAGCACACTAAAGCAGTGCAGCTATTCTCAATTAATGGTACCATAACACACATAGTACCATTCATTAGCATTCATTGTTGTAATGAACAGTAAAACACACTTTACCACAACACATACAGTTGTGTTCAAAATAATAGCAGTGTGTTGAAAAAAGTGAATAAAGCTCAAAATCCTTCTAATAGCTTTTATTTCCATACACACAAATGCATTGGGAACACTACACATTCTATTCCAAATCAAAACATGAAGAAATATGTATCAAATTTGTGTTGTTCCTCTAAAAAAAAAATTGAAGAAAAGTGAATATTAGACTGTTCAAAAAAATAGCAGTGTTTGTATTCTTCTTTACAAACTCTGAAACATTCACTATATAAACTGAAAAATGTTTGAAGATTTTACTTTCCTTTGAATCACTTAATGAATATTTAGTTGTATAAGCACTGTTTCTGAGAACTGCTGTACATCTGTGTTGCATGGAGTCAACCAGCTTCTGGCACATGTGAACAGGTATTCCAGCCCAGGATGATTGGACTACATTCCACAGTTCTTCTCTATTTCTTGGTTTTGCCTCAGAAACTGCATTTTTGATGTCACCCCACAAGTTTTCTATTGGATTAAGATCCGGGGATTGGGCTGGCCACTCCATAACGTCAATCTTGTTGGTCTGGAACCAAGATGTTGCACATTTACTGGTGTGTTTGGGGTCGTTGTCTTGTTGGAACACCCATTTCAAGGGCATTTCCTCTTCAGCATAAGGCAGCATGACCTCTTTAAGTATTCTGATGTATTCAAACTGATCCATGATCCCTGGTGTGCGATAAATAGGCCCAACACCATAGTATGCTCATAGTGACCTCTTCAGCACGTCTTTTTTTTCAACAGTGGGACTTTGCGGGGGCTTCTTGCAGATAGCTTGGCTTCACATAGGCGTCTTCTAATTGTAACAGTACTCACAGGTAACTTTAGACCTTCTTTGATCTTGCTGGAGCTGATTGTTGGCTGAGTCCTTGCCATTTTGGCTATTCTTCTATCCATTCGAATGGTAGTTTTTCGCTTTCTTCCATGTCTTTCAGGTTTTGGTTGCCATTTTAAAGCATTTGCGATCATTTTAGCTGAGCAGCCTATCATTTTCTGCACTTCTTTATATGTTTTCCCCTCTCCAATCAACGTTTTAAGCAAGGTACGCTGTTCTTCTGAACAATGTCTGGAATGACCCATTTTCCTCAGAATTTCAGAGAGAAATGCACTGTAACCAGCATGTGTACAACATTTGCTGCCTTCCTTCCTTTAATAAGGGCAATAATTGCCACCTGTTTTTCAAAGAATGAATGACCTCACTAATAGAAGTCCACACTGCTATATTTTGAACATGCCCCTTTCAATTTGTAATTCAATTACACAGAATCAGCAGCATGCATGTCATGACTGTTGGGTCTGTTGTATTTCTATTACTCTACTACACCTGCTAGTAAAGGATTTGCCATGTAGAAATATAATTTCTACCAAAAACAGTGATTGATCAGGTTAGTGATGTCTGACTGCTATTATTTTGAACACAACTGTAAGTGTGAAGCCAAAATAAAAGTTTGATTTAGATGTTATGTAGTCCATAACTGATCATTTTTAAAGTTGTGATTAAAATACTAGCAAAAGTAAAGAAAACTAGAAGAGTCCCCAGTTTTTACTAGCACCATTTTTTGTTGTCTTCAAGAATTTTTTTTCCTTCATTCACCACTCTAAATCACTGTTTGAGCTGGTCTCTTCATTTGCAGCCTGGCTTTTGGAGTGCTGTGTCTGGTCCTTGTGGTCTGAATGTTATGGGAATAGCCTGGAAGTGGCCTTCAGGCACTGGGATCTGTGTTAGGCTTGTTCCAAACTCAACTGCTGTTGGTTATCCCTGCAGGGGTATGGGACTGAGAGCTGATGTCAACTGCTGGATGGAGCGTCATGCACACAGGCTTTGTGCTCTCTTTCCCACTATAGAATGGCAATGAAGCATCTCCTCACTGCAGCTCCCACTTTCAAAGAGCCACATGGAACACTGAGCTTTGGTCTGTTCCTGCTGTCCACCTACAGTGACTGTGGTCACCTCTGGCCATCTGACCCTCGGCTGCTACAAGCTTTTGGAGTACCTGAGAATCCTGCCTTGTACCTTGAGCCATACATTGGCTAAGCACCATGTGGTTGCAAAATGTCTGATTCTAGATACGGGGGACAGTCCTGCTCTACTGTGGGTGCCTCCAGCTCACACTCATACTAATGGTTCCGGTATTGCTTGCAGAGTGCTTACTACTAATGTGGCTAGTGTTGGTAGTCTGGAATCATTTTGCCCTTTGATCCTAGAGTCGGTCTTTGAAACCTCCCTTAGCTTTGGCACGTGTGGCTGGTTCCTCTGCCCTCTCAGGTGAAGTTTTTACTACAGTCATGCAAGACTTTATGGCCCAAATCGCCCAGTTATTTGCTGACTTTGACCGCGGAAGCCACAAGCGTGCTTCTGCACCCTCCCCAGCAGATTCTGTATCTGATCTGCCTGCAACCTCTGAGTGATTGACCACAGAGGCTGTCTTATTCAGAGTCAATCTGTTGTTCAGCTGACAAGATTTGCCTCTGAGAAATGGCAGTTTTCTGCCATTTCTTCAAATTAAAAGCTAATGTTGCAGCTCTTATTGATGTGGTTCATGCCTGTAAAAAACTGGAGCAGCCTGATAGGATGTTTGTTCCCTGAAGCACTTATTAACTTTGTACTCCTTTGAGGAGGACTTTGATAAAAAGTGGTCTGCCCCACTGTTTATCCGGCAGTGCCCAGCCTTAACAAAGCAACCACCATCCTGTCTTTAAAGACACAACCAATAAATGAATGGGAAACCCTTTTATAGAGCTTTGTTCTCATTGTCAGTGCTTGTTTTTCACCCTACTTTGGCTGTGACTTTGCTTTGCCACACCCTAACTGACTGGTCGCTACTGTGGTTAGTTTTGGTAATAGAACACTTGGAGCAAAGGATTGCAATGGCTGCAAAGTATTCTTCCGGTTTATCTGTTATAAATTGTCCCTTTTTGTTTCTCCACTCCTGCACCATCCATGTCCAGACCCCCACACTTTGCTTTCAGTCCACCACAAAGTCTGGGGTTTAAAGTTCTCCAAATCCTCAGACAAAACTACAGCATAAAGGTGTGCAAACATTTTCCAAAGTGGGGGGACTTTTTTTTAACCATTAGGGGACACTGGGACACTTTGCATCTTGGACACATGGTTACATGAATGGTCTACATGTGCTGCAAGTTGGGAGCATTGATCCCTGCTTCCCTCTGTTTCTCACATCCAGCCTTGGTATGTTAATGCACAGATTAATAGATCTCCATTAAGCCCTTTTGGGTCTTCTGGATTTAAGGTGTCATTGCCCCACTACTTGTGGCAGAATGGTTCCAAGGATCTATTTGCTGTCCCAAAGCCCAAGGGGGCAGTTGCTTCATTATGGGTCTCAAAACTTAGTGTTTTCATTCGAGTTAGGAAATTTTGCATGGAATCCAGCAGATCTGTCATCACCTCCTATCACTAGGGGTACTTTCTGTATGCATACTTGCACGTCCCTATATTTTTTCAGAGTTTCCTTTGCTTTGCTTTGCTTTGAGACCTCTTGTCTGCACCTCAGGTGTTCCCCAAGGTGCTGCGTCCAGTGCGAGCATTGCTGTGCTCTTGTTGAATCCTCATTGTGGGATGCTTAATGATCTTCTACTAAGTCAACAGTCGGTGCAGACTGTGTATGACTTCATTGCTTTGACTGTCCAGACCTTACAGCAGTTTTGATGAACCCTGAACCTTCTGAAACCATTGCTGGGACCAACTCCTCATCTAGAGTATTTGGGTCTAGTCACGGACAAAGCTCTGGGCAGGGTGTTTCTTCCACAGGAGAAACGTCAAACTGCAATATCAGATTTTATCTTCCTAGTCCAGGAGTCATCAAACTCTCTGTTTTTTGCATGAAAGCTTTGGGTCTGATGGTAACCTCCTTCAAGGGAGTCCCATTTGTCCAGTTCTACGCTAGACCTCTGCAATGCAACATCCTGTTATTGTGGAACAGGTCAGTCCAGTACATGAACAAGATTTGTATGACACCAAAGACCAGGTTATCCCTTCTTGGTTGCTCATTAATCCAGCTTTGGCGTCGGGGAAGTTCTTTCTTCTTGTTTTTGGAAGATCCTCATAAATAGCCTAGCCTGAAAAATAACTAGATGAAAGTTCTTAGCCTGAAGAATAACTGTCTTGTTAGGTTACTATTGAAAATCGTAGGGTTGCCTGGTGATCATGGATAAATTCAGAATGAAAGAACAAAGTCTTGGATTGGTAGTCTGTGTTTTCAAGCTAGCTTGTCAAGTGAGGTGTATGTCTTTAAAGCATTTCTTAAAAGCCTGGCAAAATGGATAGAAAAGCTAATCCAATATGATTGGTGCAGTAAAGGAAATTTTTCCTTCTGATCCTGTTTTCAACCAGGCTGTTACAAAAATCCTGACTGTGAATTCGCAACAAGGGTGGACAGTAATAACTTAATTATAAACGAGGCTAAGGGTCAAGTCTGCTCTTCTGGCCTTCTAGACCCTTCCTCCCCTCCATGTCTACTACTGGGAACCTAGGTAATGCAACTGACATTCTGTGGACACTTTGACCTTTTGCAAATGTTTCACTTTTCCTTTTAAACTAGCTTTCAGTAAGGTCTCTATATTTCTTTTCAATGTATTTTTACATTTGCCAGTTTTTTCTCTATAGTACCAAAATTGTTTATTTTATTATCTTTATTAGAGGCATCCTGATGGCGTGGCATCGGTCTCATTTAAAGAAGCAGACGAAGGTGATGCCTGTATATTGGCATTAAATGGAAGATGGTTTGGTGGTCGACAGCTCATTGTGGATACGTGGGATGGTGTTACAGATTATCAGGTAATCTGGGATATAAAGTGTATGTAAACTTCTATGAACTTCTTTTATTTGTTCCCAGTCTGGCCTGTTAAATGGGAATTTAGAAGTATGTTGTTAGTTCTGTTTAACCACTTCAATATCGGGAACTTTCACCCCCTTCCTGCCAAGACCAATTTTCAGATTTTAACGCTGTTGCACTTTGAATGACAATTGCGCAGTCATGCAACACTTTACCTATATGAAATTGTTATTTTTTGTAGACCGAGTTTTCTTGGTGGTGATGTTTTTTTTTTTTTTTTTTTTAATATTTTACTAAACAAACGAAAAAAAACAATTTTAAAAAAATATCTTCCCTGATGTGTGCTGTTGAGGCTGCACTGATAAGCTGCATTGATGACCACTGACTGTCAGTGATGAGGCAGCACTGATTAGCTGCACTGATGGACCACTGTGATTGGCCTTGTACCGTGATCTGTGATCAGATGTGTCAAAAGGACACTGCAGTCACAGAGCGCTCCTGATGCACCCCCCAAGGGGGTGAGCTGGAGGAGGGATTCTGGGATGAGGCTCTCCTTGAACTGCAGGATTGTGCTGTAGCTGTCATTCTGATATAGCCCGGTTGGGAAGTGCAAAGAAACCTTGAAGGTTAACAGGCATTTCTTTTTCATCCACTGGAAGTCCCTCAATTCTTTGGATTACACTGCTGCCTACAGCAGGATTCCACAATGGCAAGCAAGAACTGTAGGCTGGCACAGGATAACCTTTCCCACTGCCAGCATGCCTCCGTTTCTAGCTAGTGTCCCAGGATGATGGATGTCTTGTCTTCAGCTCTGCTGTGAAAAACGCTAGCTTATTTTCTTGTTAGCGCATTTTTTTTTCATCTGCTACTTTTGCTGGGCAGCATGGAAGTAGAACAAATAATAAAACTACTAAACTACTGACATGATCAACAGGTAATAAAAAAAAAAAGTTACAGAAGGGTGTCAAAAAAAAAAACAAAAACAAATTGAATGTATGACAGTCTGCTACACATATTTAATTTCTATATTGCCCATGGTCCTGCTTCAATAACCAATAGGTAGTACTCTCCACCCGAGCAAAGTTTTGACAGAAACTAAATGCTTCCTTCTACAGATTGAAGAAACGTCTCGAGAAAGAGAAGAGAGGCTCAAGGGATGGGAGAAATTTCTCGATGCTGATAAGCAGAAAAAATCTGAGGCTGTTAGTAATGCCAGCACAACATTACCCGCTAGTAATGGACAATTAGAAAAGAAGGACATTGGCTCAGAGTCTACTCACAGCAAAGACAGCAGTGTCCATCTGCCAGGAAAAGCTGAGGCTGAACAGGCTGCAGACGATGCAGCATCTACAGACAGCAGCATTGGTGGCAGTGATGAAGAAGATGAGAAAGGAAATCTGTAGGGAATAATTTATGCTTTTTTTCTTACTTCTGTGTATCTGTCAGTTATTTGCTGTGCGGATAAGGGCTCATGCACAAAAACACATTCAGGCATATATCCCAAAGAATTTAGCATATTTCCACATCCAGATGTCACAGGTGTTGCCGTACAGCCATGTCACAAGCCAATACCCCAACAATTGTGGCATGGATATATGCTGAATTCTTGCTGTGTGCGCCTGAATGTGTCCATGTGTATGAGCCCTTGCTCATTATATTTAGACTTGTGAAAAATTCTTGTTCTTAAAAGGAATGTGTCAGGATTCTACTGGAAGAGATGATCTCCACAGGGTTTTTCTTGAAATCGAACAATGGAGGTGATGTTCATGACAACCAATCATATTCCGTGTCCCTTTTTTACCATTTACTTCAGATTAAAGGCAAACTTGTATTTGTGGTCTGATTTTCCCTTGCCCCAATTTCCATATGTCTGGGGTGCTTAGAGTAAAGTGAGCCTGTCATGGAACAAGTATATGTACTGCCATTTCCCCAACCCCCCCCTACACTGTACTTGAACTACTGACCTAGTACAATGCACCAAATAAAGGCAGGGCTCCTAATTTACACACTTGTTCTTTGGCGCTGACTCCCAAGTAAAGCCAGAGGAAGAAGAATGATGATCAATGCAGCTATTCTTTTCATAAGGAGGTAATCAAAGGTGGCCGGAGTATTTAATAGCTTTCTGTTAAAGAGGAACCGAACGTGTGTGCCCAGAAAAAGCCAGCAGATGACAAATGACTAGTTACCATTATTACTTGCCTCTCCTGAGAGACAGGAGTTTTCTTCCTCATGTCAGAGCCTTCAGCAAAGAGAAAAGTGAGTAGTACATTTGTGACATCCCCAATCTCATTCTGAACTTCCTGAGACCAGCAGTCAGAGGCAGCAGTGCCTTAGTTCTCACACTGCAGATAAACAGCTATGAGAATATAACCACAAGAGTAGACAGGTTAGGCCAGGTCAAGACAAGTTATATTTTTCAGGGTACAGTTAACATTTCTAAATGTCCCTAATAACAGCAGCAAATCTTCACTTTTCAAGTTCACTGTAATGTACAAAGGAAATGAACATGCTTAAATTTACACCATAATAAACATTTTTTTTAAATGTTGTGCACTCTGGGCCTTAATTGGCGAGAACCCTATAACAACTAATAAAAATCAATCGTCCTGAAGATCTAATGTTTAAATTCCTTTAGGCTTTTTGACCACCTGGCCTCTGGTATTTGCCGTAACTCAGAAGTAAATGTAAATCACAGGATTTTGCAACAAGTTTATCGAGTAGCTGTGTAAGGTGTGAGTATTTTACAAAAGCCCAAAAATCTGGTTGAGCTTGTTGTGTGTGTTGTTTGGTTTTTTTTTTTTTTTTTTTATTGGCACTAAAGTTTAATCGACAGCACCGTTTTTCATCAAGTGCTGGATCTAGCAATTGAAGGCATTTGCTGAGTGTGTGTTACTATTTTAGTTATGTAAGTTGTATAAGATGTTTTAGTTCAAACTACAAAAAAAAAAATCTTGTTTCATGACAAAATTCCAGCGAATTTGTTTTTGTAGTTTTTGTTGAAATGTGGAATGTTTAAGGTTTGACCAAATTTAATTTTGTTTGGAGAACTTCCCAGAAAATGCAACTTGGGGTAATCAGCTGATAAACTTGGGTACAACCAGCCTGTCTGATTTTACAAGCGATTATAGCTAGTGGCTGTTATAGCCACTAGCAGTAATCAAGGTGGTCTCCCAGCAGGACACAATGGCTCTGCAGGAGGGATTCCTTCATCAACACAGACTGTGTTGATTGGGGAATCAAGCATTTTTCTTTACTGCAACCCATGGTTGCAGGAAAGAATATTGCCCTGTTTATGGCCGACTTAAAGCACACTCAGTGTGTATCAGGAAGTGGAGCCTCTGTGTGTAATGAGCAAGTATGGCTGTCCCCATGCAGTTATATAATTATGAACTGTACATAGAAACAAGGTTTTTAAAATCTAACAAGCATTGAAAGGATCATTTGAATCAAGCATAACATATACACTATTGCCAAAAGTATTGAGACATGAACTTTTAATGGCATCCCAGTCTTAGTCCGTAGGGTTCAATTTCGAGCTGGCCCACCCTTTGCAGCTATAACAGCTTCAACCCTTCTAGGAAGGCTGTCCACAAGGTTTATGAGTGTGTCTATGGAAATGTTTGATCGTTATTATTATTATTATGCAGGATTTATATAGCGCCAACAGTTTGCGCAGCGCTTTACAATATAAGGGAGACAGTACAATTACAATACATTTCAGTACAGAAGGAGTAGGAGGGCCCTGCTCGTGGAGCTTACATTCTTCCAGAAGCACATTTGTGAGGTCAGGCACTGATGTTGGATGAGAAGGCCTGGCTCGCAGTCTCTGCTCTAATTTATCCCAAAGGTATTGGTTGAGGTCAGGACTCTCTGCAGGCCAGTCAAGTTCCTCCACTCCAAACTCCTAATTCATGTCTTTATGGACATTGCTTTGTGCACTGGTGCGCAGTCATGTTGGAACCAGAAGGGGCCATCCCTAAACTGTTCCCACAAAGTTGGGAGCATGAAATTGTCTGAAATGTCTTGGTATGCTGATGCCTTAAGAGTTCCCTTCACTGGAACTAAGGGGCCAAGTCCAACCCCTGAAAAACAACCCCACACCATAATCCCCCCTCCACCAAACTTTACTCTTGCCACAATGCAATCAGGTAAGTACCGTTCTCCTTGCAACCGCCAAACCCAGACACATCTATTGGAGTGCCAGACAGAGAAGCGTGATTGGTCATTCTAGAGGATACGTCTCCACTGCTCTAGAGTCCATGAAGCTCTCTGTGCACTGTTGTGCTAATCTGAAGGCCACACGAAGTTTGGAGGTCTTTAGCTATTGACACTGCAAAAAGTTGGCAACTTCTGCGTACTGTGTGCTTCAGCATGCCCTGACCCCGGTCTGTCATTTTATGTGGCCTAACACTTCGTGGCTGAGTTGCTGTTGTTCCCACTTGTTTCCATTTTGTTACAATACCACTAACACTTGACCGTGGAATATTTACTAGCAAGGAAATTCCACAGATGGACTTATTGCACAGGTGACAACGTACAACAGTACCGCGCTTGAATTCACTGAGCTCCTGAGAGCGACCCATTCTTTTACAAATGTCTGTAAAAGCAGTCTGCCTGCCTAGGTGCTTGATTGTATACACCAGTGGCCATGGAGGTGACTGGAACACCTGAATCCAGTGATTTGGAGGGTTGTCCCAATACTATTGGCAATAGCGTATATTTTCTTTTTAAAAAAGGGAGTAAAGGGCCTTCCCTATTTTTTCCACACAGTAAGTTGTTTTTTTGGGGGAGGGGGGGGGGGATGAGGCAGTTAAAAAAGGATTTCTGCAAAACCTACAGAGGAGTAGAAACCAGAAAGTGGGTAATGTACTAAAGAAATTGAACCTAGTGAAAAGGTGAAACTGTTCACTTTAGACATCCAGTCATGGACATAAAAATGGAGTAATGAACGTGAACACATCTTAATTTTATTTACCAGCCAGGGGAAGATATGCAAAGTGAACAGTCTCCTCACCTTTAGTAGGATAGCCTTTATGCATTAGCAGGGGTGTGGAAAATTTTTTGAAAAAACTACTACCCTAATCTACTTGTCCAGATAAAAAAAACATACAGTTTTAACCAAAACTGTATTTAAATCAGAGGTGATATTAGGAATGTCTGGGGCTTTTAAAAACAAAAGGGACTTTATGGCGACTTCAATTTTTTATATTTTTAACATTGCGCTGTTTATCTCTTCCTCCTGTCCCTGCCTCTCTCCAGCATCGCACCCGGGGACTAGCAGGGAGGGGAGAGACCTTGCAGTGTAATGAGCACCAATTGGCTGCTCCTCAGGAAAGGGTGGATAGGGCTTATCCTTTATCCCTTTTGCTGCCAGAGCCATTTTTGCATTTTTTGCACAAGTTTAAAAAAATAATTTTAGGCCTGAAGATTACATAAAACCCCCCAACATTATATATTTTATGAAAGCAGAGACCCTAGAGAATAAAATAGTTAATTTTTTATGTCACATGATATTACCACAAGATTTCAGTAAAAAATACAAGGTAATTTTAGGGCACAAAAAAGACAAATAATTACCCTATTTTTTGTAAAATATAAAAGATTAGGTTGCACCGAGTAAATATCAAAGTTGTCAAACCTTAAATTTGTGTGTGCTTGTGAATTTTTATTTTACTTTTTTTTTTTTCATCACCTAGAGGACAAAGTCTCCTAAGTGATGATTTTTTGTCTCCCCTGTGCTCCAATTAATGTAATTAAGTGCACATCGCACTGCATTACATTCTTTCCTGGCTTTCATGGCCAAGAATCTCTCAACAGAGACCCTGAAGTGATGTAACATCACTTCCAGTTCAGGACAAGAAGGGGAGGGGTACGGACATGTTTTCTCTCCTTCCTCCCCTCTAGGCAATGGGGGCGAGCCAGTCCCGGGCTCTGCTTGCCCATCTGCGGGCCCGGGACTGGCTCACCGCCGAGGGTGGGCTTCGACCTGACAGGTGAGCCCTCTGCTTGCCCACAGCAGGACTAAAGGTAGAAAAAAAAAACTACCTGCCTGACGCCCGGAACTACATGTCCAGGGCGTCGGGCGGTAGGAATCGAACATCCCTGAGTACTACAGCAGGAAATAAAACAGCAGCAGCTGCATTGAAAGCAATAGTAGGCTGTTGACTCACAGCTAACCACACTCATTCTCATGTAAATGCTCATGCTGCGATTACATGTGAGTGGGTGCAATTAACTGCGAGCACCAGCAGCCTTTGATTACTTTAAATGGGGCTGCAGCTAATCGCAGGAACCCCTATTGGGGCTCTTGCATATAATCACACCTAGGGTGTGAATGCACCCTTATGTTGAGAATGGACAGGGGTGACCCTGCAAGCAACATGTGGCTCAAAATATTAATAAA